ATTCCTGCCAACTGGAGCTCCACCTCTGTGCTGTTCCAGTGATTCTTGAACAAGAAATTTAGAAACAGATTTAAAAAAATTAAAAAGCACACGTGATGCCAATTCATCTGACCCAGCATGAAAGCAGCTTACAGGCAAAGCACTATTTAGAATTTCTTTTCACAAAGACTGCTGGGCCATTCATTAAGAGAAGGAGTAACTAAGACCCCCAGCAAAGCTCCCTACTTCCGAGCAAAAGCAGAGAACATCTAAATTACTGTGAGGCTGCATTTTGCAGCTCCCTGTCCTATTCCCAGCATTGCCCTCTGCTGTCTGAGATAGCGATTAATCACTTCCCATGAAACCAATAGAGTAGGAAGTTCTCCTGGCAGTATTCTGATCTCAGCACACTACAAACACAGGCTGCTCACCTTGTACTCAGCTTTTGGTCTGCGCAGCTCCGGGGCGTAGTTTTTAACTCCTGTGTCAGAGAGGGCTAAGAGGGAAAGGCAAAGCTGAGTAACACATCAAAATCCTGATTCACACCTGCTTCCAAAACTGCCCTTTCCTTAGTTTTTGTGGTAGAAGACACAAACCCAAGCACCAAATTGCAACACAAAGTTGCTCTAAACCAAACAGTCGCCAGTTGTACCTAAGCAGATTACCCAAACCATCATGCCAACTCTTTCGCTTCTTTGCTGAATGACTTCCAGACAATCCATGATTCAGTTTCCCTTTCTACAAGATAAGGAAGACGACACTTCCCTTTTTTTGGACATGCTTTGGTTTACGTAAATCTGTACCCCTCCCAAAACGAGGCAAGGATTCAAAACTTACCATCTGAAAGGGACTGGAAACTTGGAAGTTTGTTTCGTCCTGAAATCAAAACAAACACTCATGAGAGACTGTCTCTTCACCAGGAACATCTCTGGCAGAGGGAACACAAGCCTAGACTGCACGCCAGCGTGCTGCAGCTATGCCACTGTAGAACAAGCCACTCTGTACAGTGATTCACACTACACCAGCATAGCTGGGGCTCAGCTGCTTGCAGTCTAAGGGTTTGAAGTTGTCTGTGGCATCACCAACCGTATCGCACCCCAGCCCTATCTGCCCTCTTGTTGCTGAGGCCAGGAGGGGTTAGAGAGCCTGAATTCACTGTCTACCTGCAGAGCAGAGGCTCCAGCACACGCTACTCCTTAGGCCGTGGCAACATGGACAGCTTCATTCCCTGGGGCTGTAGTTTAGATGCCTTTCCTTATCACTGTGTTATCAAAGTTGAGAATAAAAAAACACCCCAGACAAAGAAAGACAAACTAAAAGCTGGTTTGTTGTCTGACTGTGAGACAACAGAGCTGAACTCTTGCAAGCTGTGCAAGTGTCCCCGTGGCCTGCTGCACAGTTGCCCTATAACCAGCTATGCTACTACTGCTGCTGCCATGTGTTTGCTGAACCAAGTATAACACCAACAGCAGCCAGCTGAGCTCCAAATAAAGGATAATCAACCCTTCTTCTACAGTACTGAAGATTGAATGAGGGCCACATGGGTCCAGCCAGTCCCTTTGTAGCCTGCTCTTTTCCCCCATGCAAATGGATTGCTGTACAGTGCTGTGCTCTACCTTGCCGTTCTGCAGAACCTGGCTTTTAAGAAGCCATAATCTCCAACGCCCTCTCCCACACCACAAGAGCATGCAATCTTCTGCACAAGACAGTCTCTGATTTTTGACCAGTGAGAGATACACTCCCACACCGAGGAGAGATCAGAGCCTCCCTGTTTTGCAATACACTTAAGAGAAAATGATTCACACAAGATAACACAGTTACCCCTTGACACTCTTGAGGGAAAACCCATTTGTCCATATTGTATATGAGGAACCTCACCTTTGAATAGGCTGCTTAGGGAGTAGGAGGAAACTTGTTTGGGAAAAGCAGCATAGGAGGAAGAGCCCTTCGGTAGGCTGGAGTCTCGGCCCTCCAGTGAGCTAGTGCTGCTGGAGGCTGTCTCTTTGATTGACCAGGAGATACCTATTTGCAGACAGAGGTCATTTATGACAGAGAAAGAGAAAACCAGTCTGTAAAGAATGATCTTATGGCATGGCAGGAACATTACCAAGTGTGTACTGGTCAGTTCTGCACTAGTACATCCCGACAGCTTTGACCCTCAGCACTAGGTAGATGCAGTGCACAAAATCCCAATCTCATGTAATACTGCTTGTTAAACAGTTGCACATTGTCGTCCAGAAATGGTTGATTTCAGCGATGTTGTACACTGGGTTATGGCTTATATAACAAAAATGCATAGACCACCCAATTTATATGTTGTTCCATGGGGCAAGGCATAATCCTTACTCTAAAGGCACAGAGCAAGACAGAGAATCCCTGGCTCACTTCAAATCACAGAAGCGTAAGAGTATACCTTCCTGAACACTGGAAAACTAAGACAGCTTTCCTCCCCACACAGGTGAAACAGCTGTCAATGTGCATATGCTGCTGCTAACAATGCATACGTCTCCCTCCTGCTTGTTTGAGACAGTGTTGCCTTCTTTCATGCAGCTGTACAACACACACACATTTTAGGACAGGGTGACAGAGCAAAAATGCCAATAGGTAGAGACCTTGGGTGGGAATAGACATGGCCTGAATCAGAGGGAGGAGCTAGACCACAGGACAAGAACAGACTCTTCAAAGGTCCTCTGGGTGATCCAAATGTAAATTTTCACTGTTTGGCACTGGCTAGCAAGTGCCACATGTTCTGTGGGTCATGGACTCCAAAGCGCAGCAGATAGCTTGCTCCCATCATCACTAGAAACACATTTTCTTAATGCTTACAATTCCCTTTTGAACTCCAAGCGTAAGAGTCGGTCTATAAATACACACTAAACCTTAGAATATCTCCTTAAAATGCTGTGGGGACAAACCACAAGGAACTTTAAATGGTGCCATTTCAAGCAGCAGTGTGAAGGAAATTATCACCTAGAATCCTGCAGGCCAGCCAGCCAAGAATATCAAGGAACAACCTCTAAAATATCTGCTCTAAGCTGGGCTACATATTGGGAAAACCACAGTGAATTCCCTCCACTTGTCTGCACTCCTTTATGTAGTTTGGGTTTCTGCTCGCTCTCGTTTCAGCGAATCCACACAGGTAAATCAAGAGGCTCACAACGTGACCTGAGGAGACTGGAATTAGATTAGATACGCAGGATTAGATAGCAAGTAGTACTCCTGACCTCAACCAAACAACATGACTTAAGCGGTAATTTTAAACTCCCTCTGTCTCAAGGATAACTTGCAGTACTTCTGCACTTACTTCCCACTGGTTCTCCACTCCAGCTGACCCTCTCAAGGTCGTCATCATCATCATCATCATCATCATCAACGATATCCCGAAGGCTATTCACTGCCCGTTTGGATTCCTTTAGCTATGGACAAAAGAAAGAGCTTGTATAAAGGCCACCAGCGTTGCAGGGTGAGCTTTATTTCCTATTACCTCCAAACAACCTCCCTCAGAGCTCTGAAAACAGCTTCTTCAGCTTCCACTGCCTTTTCTGGAGGAGGTTTTTACACCTGTAGGTGTTCAACAGACAGAGCAGCCCTTCCTCACCACTGGGAATCCAAAGGCCACCGACCTTTGCAGCTCAACCAGCAGGCGATTCGGTTTGGCGCACGGGTGAAGAACCACGGTCCTAACCAGATGTCGGACTGGCTGCCGTGGGGGGCGAGACGGGAGCCCTCGGTGGCCTCCACACAGGGCAGGAGGCAAGCACCCACCCCACCCGCGAATCACAGACCCTCAGCGAAGCGCGGGGCCGAGGCCTGGGCCGAGACGGCCACGGGGCTGTCCGGAGACGGGGGGGCGGATCTCCCGCCGGGCGGCGGCGCCCCGGCAGACGCGGGGTCGGACCCTACCTGCGAGAGCTCGTCATCCTCGTCGTCGAAGGTGAAGGCGCGGAACTTGGAGCTGTGCCAGTACTCCTCCTCGTCCGCCCTCGCCCTGCTCATCTGCAACGGCACCGCGCGGCTGATCAGGGGAGCGGCTGCCTGACGGCGATCG